TTGAGAGGTCTGTTAACTCTCATTAGCTAGTTTGCAGTTTTCCTGAGATTCTCTGTTACTTCATCTGCATTTTAATCTCTGCTTAGACTCTAGCTTTTCCATGGATCAAATTCACAAAAAGTTAAAGAAAATTGACCATTCGATTGAGTATACCAACTCCAAAATCAAACTCTGGGTTTAACAAACGAAATTTGAGGAGAAGGGAAACTGATACTTAAATCCGAGGGAAGAATCAATAAAATGCATGCACTCTCCCATTTCATACATCAAGCGCTCAAGAGCAACAGGTCAAATGAACAACAACTAAGATTGAGGAAGACTTACCATCAGGTTTCGGAAAACTTTACCTCCCATGTCCACAAACCCTGGCACAAACCGGCATTTTAATGATTCTTCCCTCGGATTCTCCTTCCAATTAGCGGGAAATGAGAGAGACTGGTCATCGACTGGCAAGACTTTGCAGATTTCCCTGTATAATCAATCAAGCAGGGAACGGTTAACAACATTGGTCAAAAACAAAAGGAGTAAATGAATCGGTGAATCAGAACGCAAGGGAATTCACCTCAACAGGAATTCAGCGACTAACTCCCACCGTGATACTAACCATCTGAGCCCATCAGTAAAGTATTTTTTTCCCAAAAACAGAGAAAGTGAGAACGATCCACCCATGAAAAGAGAGGGACATAACAATCAGCTACAAACCAAAAACATAACCTGCAAATTGAGCTCTTCTTCCTACTGTATAACACTCTAAAAGAAAGTTACAACGAACAAAAAGAGAGCATAAGAAATACTCTGAAACAAACCCAATAGAAAAGGGAACATGACCTATATAACTGATAACTCTTGGATCCACAAAGTCGGTATCATATTCGCCTAAGGAGACGAATCCCAGGGAGAAGATTTGGATTCCAAAACTGCAATCTGGCCATTCTGTTTCCTGATCAATCTCAAACCCAAGGACAAAAACAAAGAAATATCAGTAAAACAAACTAAAAGTGGCGATCTACCTTGAGATAGAGAGATAAAAGCAAGTTGAGAGACGAATCGACGTGGGTCGAAAATGGAGAGCTTGAGAGTGAAAAGATAAATAAAATGGGAGCAGACCTTTTTATGTCGTTTCTCAGCTCCTACCAAGCAGAACTCCTCTCCCAAACACGAAAGGCATCGCCGATATTTTCTCTGGATAAGAGAAAAAACACTGTTAAACAAAGGAGGAGAGAACGATCCATCCACGAACAGAAATATTAACCGCCAAAAATTAAAACGGGACCTACGAATCAGTATGCTCTGGCTTGAGAATCGGCACCGCACCATCTTCGGATCTCCTCCTTCTCAGGTCCAGAAGACACCGTACAAATTCCATGAACACCTACAGATTGGCGAGGCACTGGTGGTTGATGAGGTCGGTGGAGAGGTCTTGCAGCTTCTCCCCGGAAACGACAACGTCGAAGACTTCCAGCTCCCGGTGGATGGATCTAGCGTTGTTGCCGACCAGGGCCAGCTGCCGCCACTGGTCCACGTTGCGCAGGAGCTGGGCACACCGTGAAGAAGGCCTGGCTGAGAAGGAACAGAACATCCATTCCATGGAGTTCTCCCTGGTTGCGCACCAAAAATAGACGGAACGGGAGCACCGGCACTGGAAAAAGAGAGAGAACACAAAAGTCAGTAGAAAGAGAGAGGAAAGTGCGAAATGCAAATTGGAAGGAGTAGAAAGAAGAGGATATCTGCAGTGCGGCAGTATTCATCTCGAGACCACCACCCACAACGTAGGTCTTTCCTTTTGTCTCAGCAGGGTCAGGTCAATTCATCTCTGATTTCAGACTCAATCGGGTGGTAAAAAGAGAGAGCAAAAGGACTGCGAGAAAAGACAATCAGAGGGAGAAGAGGATCTCTAACCAGATCCGCGGGCAACGTGCTTTGCTTCGCAAATCATTAGGGAGATCCGGCCCAAGGTGGAAAAACCCTGGCACAAACCGGCGGCACAAACCGACCTCCCTGAACAAAACAACCGGGCCCACGCGCAGAGGTCCAGCCAATAAGAGGCACGCAAACAGTAAATTTCGGTCACATTGAACAGTTCAAACAGTCTACATGCACAGTAGGAGCCGGTCTTTGGAAATAATTCTCTTTAATGTTATTGATTTTCATTAATTAGCGTCAAATTAGACCAATGATATATTTTAATTTTAGTTTGACTTCTTTGCCGTCTCCATGTAGAAGATTTCATCTGCTAATATTTGTTGCTCGTTGTGCACAACTTATTTTCTTTTCCCAATTAATATGATGGTGTTCTTGGTGGGACTTGGTTATGAATCAGTGGTATGTATTGATTTTGGATTTGGTGAATTTGTTACTTTGTTGATTTGTTTAGTTTTAGGCAAAATACACTTGTATAGCCAAAACTTTCGCGTTTGTGCCAATAATAGCCAAATTTGGAGAAATACCACTTATAGCCAGAATTTTGAAAGTTTCATGACAAATATAGCCATTTCCGTTACAAACTTTAACGGTGTTAGAGACTCCGTCAGTTAGGTTAACGTTAGAGTGACTAGGATGCCAAATCATCGCACACGTTAGTGACAAATCACCTATCATTGTCACGTCATTAAATTTTGATTTATAAAATTAATTAATTTTGAAAAAAAAAACATAAAATATCACTTATTCCAATGTGGAAAAAGGAAAATAAATTAACTAAAATAAATAAATTAATTAAAAGCTCTTTTCTAATCTTTACAGATTCCTCTCCTTTCCTTCCTTTTCTTCTTCTTCCTACATCTCTGATTAAACTTAAAAGAAATAGAACTATTAACTTTGCGATGTTCCTTCTTGAATTCGGAACAAGGCAGCCGTCGCCCGCCGGTACCTTTTTCCTTCTTCCCTCGTTCTTCTTTTCTTCCTCTTCGACATGCACCAAATACCTGCAGCAATTCGCTAATGAAAAGAGAGCAGAACCCTAATTCCTGAACATCTTACCCGTCTTCGGGTCTCGCTGAGGTTTCCGCCATGGTCGTCGGGTCTCGGCATAGGCAAGCGGTTGCGCGAAGAACGGAAGAAGAGGAAGGAACGCGGCGGAGAGTCAGGGTCGATAGGGGAGTCAAGAATACATATCGGAGATGGGGAAGACTGGACAACATCAGTGATGGCGATGGCAATAATGGCGGGATGACGAGTCGGAAGAAGCGCTAGAGTCGAGCTCGGATCGGCAGCTGTATCTCCGTCTCTTTGGCGGCCATGGATTTGGAATTAGGGTTTTCTGGAGAGTGTTTGCTGGAGATGCATACAGGGATGACCAAATTGATTTTGCAATTTGTAGATGGAGATACGTCTTGCTGGAGATGCGGTCGAATCTACTAGCGATGACAGCCTCCATCCAGCTCGACCCAATCAATTTCCTACCCCATGAAGGCCCCTGCTTTCCCCTGCTCATCAATCCTCGTCCTCTCCCATTAGTAGAATCAAATCCAGCAATCCTCCTCTAGCTTCATAATATGGAACAAAAGACTCTGCGACACGATGGCGACGGGGGTTGAGCAAAGACGACGAGGCAGAAGGCCGACAAAGGGACGAATCTAGAACAGGGAGCCATCACCATCGCCACCGAATCCCTAATCCCCAAATCCTTGCCGTCGTCACCATCGCACCATCACCATCGATCGACAGTGGAGCTGCGGTTCTGGGAGCCATCACCATCTCTGACCTGTTTTCAAGTTCACTACTGCTACTTTCATCCATTATAAACCTAGATCTACTTTCATCCATCAATTGTATTCTTCTTCTCCCCCTATTTGAACCCTTACAACGTCTTCCATTATCTCCCCTGCCTCTTTCTGTTTCTATCTACCTTCTCCATGACCAAAGCCAAAACCTCCCCATTTCAATCTCTCTGAAAATGAAAGAATTTGACGAAAGAAAGCTAGACCCAGTTGAAATCACGGTTGTATGTGTTGTAATGGAGCCGAAAGGCTGTCGCTTTCTGCTGAATCCCGACTCTTGACTGATTGCTCTGGCTGTGCACACAAATTCGCAACCCGCCGCTACCGTCGTCGGAGCTTCTTCCCCGTCCTTCCTCTCCTCCACCAGTTGAACCCCCCAATTTAGTAAGCAGAAAATTCAGATTAGGGAGATCGAGCTGCAAAGAGTGGATTGAGAATCGGGGTTAGATTTGATTCCGCTCTGAGCACTTTTTAAGATAGAAAGAAGAAGATAGAGATGAGAAGAGAAGGATTTCTAGGGAAGAAGAAAGGGGAGTGAATTTCTTGTTCGTTGATGCAGACGAGAAAATGGGAGAAGGTTTTTTCTTTTTATGATTTTTTATTTAACTTAATTAATAAAAGGATAAAATTTTGATAGTGGGGAAGAAGAGAGATGGAGAGAGAAAATAAATATTATTTATTTTTAGTTTCCACCTTACATTTTTAATTGACTAACGGTCGCCAACTCAGCAATGTCGTTAGTACAGTCAGCCTGTTACTTGACACCGTCAAAGAATTGGACGGAAGTGGCTATTTTTGGTATTTCGTCAAAAGTGGCTATATTTGGCAAAACCGTCAAAGTTTTGGCTACACAAGTGTATTTTGCCTTAGTTTTACTACATATATTATATATAGGTGATTGCTACATTTATATTGTTTTGCTTGCATCTTTACTTGCTTAATCAGATTTGGGTATCAGACGAGGTCATTGGTTGATAGACCATCTAATTATATTATGAACTAGCAATGGGCCCGGCCCGTTGGCCGGTATAGTATACAATTGGTACATGTACTCTGTTCTACTATATTGGCGAGTGGAGTATAGAATACTGAAGTAATACGACTGAAACAATTTGAATTAGTAACTTCTACCATCCTATCTGTAAGCATTGGTCCAAGTTCGAAAAGTAGGGTGGAAGAACTGGGGAAAGGTATATGTTGGTGGTGATAGACAATTTCCATTTGCGGCCAAGAAAGCAAGTATGAGAGATGTTCATAATTAAAATAGGACTCACAACTTAAGCCTCAATTCTCCATTTTATTGCTGACAGTTTCCACTTACTCTTACAAATCATTTTACCGACTACAAAGAAGCTACGGACCAAGGTATGAAAGTAGCATAGAAAAAGGAGAAATAAAACCATGAAATAAAAGCGGATACATAACTTGATAACCCTGCGAAGTGATACCCCTACATGTTGCAGCATCACAGTTACTGGAAATTGAAATTGATTCTTTCAAAAGAAAAGCTAACTTGAACTTGGGACAACCACAAGGATAACGAAAATGATGTTGTAATAAACCAAACAGATCCATGCCATTTCCAATTTCAAATTCCTATTATCTCTGGAAAATGATAAACCAAACTATGTACAATTTAAAGCTTCAAATTCAGTAAAAACATAAGCATTCAAAAAAAGTCCGTAGATGAGCAATATACTACTAAATACTACTAAATATAAAGATCAGAATATGGCCTTAACCAAACAAAACTTCTGCCAATACTACTTGTCTTCCAAGTAGTCAACACATAACAAATCATTCAATCATAGAGAAACTCCATATGTACAAAGAAAACAAATTGACCTAGACAGCATGCGTCAACATTCACTTTCAAACATCCCACCGGTGGGCCATTCCATTGTACTTCAAGTCCAGCGCGTTATGCAGCCTGCAGACTATCTTGAGCATGGGCATCCTTATATGCTTGTATAAAACACTGTGACCTCGAGACACCTCCTTTTCTTCCAGCTTTGTACTATTATGCAGATGGTTGTTTCTCTGAGTCCAAAGGAACCAAAGAAATGCTGTAATTCCACTATGAGTGTCATCATCTTCTTCTAGCAGCAGCTTCCCCAATCATTGATCCATGGTACACTTCTCATTCGATGGGAGCTTATTCGCCCATGTGCTTCGAAGCGAAATTCTGGTCGACCGTTCACACATTAGAAATTGATGAGTTTGTGTCTCCTTCTGGCCACAGTAGGGGCATTCGGGTTCGACCTTATCTTCCATTTTCTCTTCCAAGTTTGCTGCTGTAGGCAGGATATTGTGCATCAGTTTCCATAGAAAGTTGTGTCCAAAAAATATTTCTATATGAAGTAATGTACCTTTGGAGGAGCTTTAAGTTTCCATCGTGACTTCCAAACTTCTGGGCTGACTGATAAATCTCAGCACAAACGGCAACCAATCAGTCAGGGAGATTAATTCTTCAACAAACTGTGGCTCCCTTCCTAAGCCACAAATTGGGTCTAAATCTCATCCAAAGAACAGAATATACACCACTGTAGAACAAAACCGGCAACACGTAATGGTATGCAATTGGATTGAACGCCTATTGGAAAAGGAAAAATAATCAATAGAAACACAGCAGGCAAATCGCATTTACATTTTGCGAATAGCCAAAATACAAAGAAATCAAAGTAAAGGAACTTACAGTTACAGGAACATGGGATATGACTCCAGTTAAGGATGATGCTGGAGAGAGATTACAGATTGGGACAGACGGCAAGAGCGAGAGGCAGCAGGTGGGAGATACAGACAGTGGACAATAGGGAAGATGAGGGGTTTTTTCGTAGAAGCTTTCGCTGTCAAAACACAAAAGCGGGACGGCGAGAGAAACGTCTTCGATTCCGGTAGGGATTGGAAGACTGGATCTATTGGGAAGACTGGAGCTTTGGGCAAAAAAACATAAAGGCAGGCTTGAGAGGAAGATCTTCGATTCCGGCAGGGATCGGAAGAATGAATGTATTGGGATGGCTATAGGAGCTATCAGCGAAAAAAACACAAAGGCGCGACGGCAAGATGAAGGCTTCGATTTCGGTAGGGATTGGAGGACTGAACTTCCTGGGACGGCTACAGAAAAGGGTTCGATTTTCGGTGGGACATTGGAAGTAACAATGAGAAAGAAAATTTGTAAAAAAATGAGAAAGAAAAGGCTTAATGAATTTACGGGAAAGACCCTCCGCAATGTGCGGCTGTTGCAGTAAAGGCTGACGTGGCAAAACCTATATTCAGACATTGCCTTATAGTATTTTGTAGATGTTCTTTAATAGTTTGCTTAATAAATTGGACTTACCGGAGACAACCATTAGTGGTGGCTGAAGCTGGATGGACAATGTGAAAAGAAATAGATATTTTTTAGTTAGTGAATTAGAAGCTAGGTGTTGCACATGTTAAAATTATATATAATAATCACATGTAGGTTTGGAAATCGGTACGGTATCGGTATCCCAATACCAAATATCGAAATCCCGAATACTGAATTACACCCTGAAATCAATCCCAATCTCAATCCCTAAATAATTTCGGTATCCCAATCCCAATCCCTAAATATTTCGGTATCCCAATCGGTACCTCGGTATCCCAATCGGTATTATCAAATACAAAATTAATTACCTTTGCCATTAATAATTAAATATATAAATTAGATTTTATTGTTTAATTTAGGGCAAAGAGACTAAGCAAAGAGTCTTGAGTTTCCTAGAGCTAACATCTCAAGTTTTTGTAATTGGTAATCTTTAATTTGATGAATTTGAGGTTGAGAAACGACTAATACTAGTGTGAAATAGTAATATAATGATCTATGCATAATTAAATGGCACTCTTGGTGGTTGAGGGTCGCGTAGTAGTGAATGATAGAGTCTAGTTGAGAGGATAAAATACACACTAGCTTATATTTCGGTATTGATCGGTATTTCGGTATATACCGATCCCAATCCCGTAATCCCTAATACCGAATAACAATTGAAACTCAATCCCAATCTCAATCCCACAAAATAATACGTGTAGTCGGTAATACCAAATATAGACAAATTCGGTACGGTATTCGGTATATCCCAAATACCGGTACCAAACTTCCAGCCCTAATCACATGTATGTGTTCTCGAGTTTCATGTTTAATTCACTTATCATATGTGTCATGACTGTTTATCTGCAAATTAAGAAATTGGAAAATTCGATAATTCAAGAAAATGAAAGCGCACACACACGACAAACGATGTACTTGGTTCACTAATACAATGTGTGTTAGCTAGTCCTAGGGCAGGAGAGAGCCATTTTCACTAGTTCGAGGAGATACAGATTAAAAAGGAGTATGAGAAATATTTATTGTACTTCTTCTAGGTCTAACCCTAAACCAATCTGGTAAAGGAAAATAGGTTACAACCAAGCCCAGAACACAAACCCAAATAACATTGAGCCCATACACTGCGGGCCGAGGGCGTTGCCCCCGCACCCCCACCGGGGCGTTTCCCCTGGACCCTACTCGCTGACCGGCGTGACTTTCAGTCGTAGTGGATGATAGTCCAATTCAAGTCACATCAAAATATCTCCACCTTGACTTGAATCCTCTTCTTTTGAAATCTCTGATGTACTCTAATCCCTCTCTCCCTCCTGCCATCAATAGGGCGGATTCACCCACTCAAGACATTCAGCAAGTTCAAGCAGTGTTGGAAATTGTCATGTGGAACCAGATTCGTGAACATGTCAGTAGGATTTTCCGCTGTACCAACCTTCTTCACCTTAATCCTCTTCTTTGTCCTGAAGAAATGATACATCACATCAATGTGCTTAGTCCTTTCATGGTGGACTTGATCTTTGGCCAAGCATATTGCACTCAAATTGTCGCAATACCCCACTGTCTGATCATGATGTGGACCCAGATCACTAACCAGTCCCTTCAACCATATTCCCTACTTAGCAGCTTCTGTCAACGCCATGTACTCTGCTTCAGTAGTAGACAATGCCACTGTCGACTGCAGAGTTGTCTTCCAGCTCACTACAGAACTCCCAAGATTGAATACATAAATGACCATTGATCTCCTCGTGTCAACATCTCCAGCATAATCAAAATCTAAAAAACCATCCTCTAAGCACTTCGTATTACTTCCCAAGCTAATCCCCACATCATATGTACCTTTAAGGTACCAAAAGATCCTCTTTACAACCTGTCAATGCTCCTTCCCAGGTTGTATCATGAACATGCTGACAATACTAACAACATGTGCAAAATCGGGTCTAGTGCATATCATAACGTACATCAAACTACCAACTACACTAGCATTTGGGACTCTCGACATGTACTCCTTCTCAGCCTCTGACTGTTGTGCATAAACTGAGGATAGATGAATATTCGAAGCACTAGGAATATTCAAGGGCTTTGTTGAAGACATGCCAAACCTGGATAGTATCTTCTAGATGTAGATCTTTTGTGACAAGAAAAACTTATTCTTCTCTCTATCCCTGTAAATCTCCATACCCAAAATCTTATGAGTAGCTCCCAAATCCTTTATCTCAAACTCAACACTGAGAAGCCCCTTTAACTTCTGGATATCAGACTTCGACCTCGCAGCTATGAGCATATCATCCACATACATAACCAGATATATCATCGAACATCCTCTGCCTTGTTGTGATATACACAACAATCATAAGGACTTATGTTGTAGCCCAGCTCAAGCATTACCTCTTGTACCACTGCCTCATAGATTGCTTAAGTCCATATAAGGATTTCTTGAGATGAAAAACGTAGTCTTATTTTTCTGAAACCTAGAATCCTTCTGGATGAGTCATGCAAATTTCATCTAACTCTCCATGAAATTTGTCTTCATGTCTAGCTGCTCGAGCTCCAAGTCATAATGTGTCACTATCGCTAGTAGCTGATCGAAGTATGCTTCTTCCCTCTGCGAGAAGCCTCTTGCAACTACCCGAATTTTAAATTTAATGTCCTCTTCAGAAGTGATTCCTTCCTTTTTCTTGTAGATCCATTTTTTTATAACAATCTTCCTTCCCTGTGGACGTTTGACCTACTCCCAAGTCTCATTCTTGTCATGGGATTCCATCTCATCTCCCATCGCAGCAAGCCATTGGCTGACTTCGCCACATGAAACTGCTAGTCTGTAGAACTGTGGTTCACCCGCATCCACCTCTTCAGCGACCTAAAAAGCATACGCCAACATGTCCTCGAAGCCATACCTTTATGGAGGTACTCGTTAGTCGCTCTCTTTGGTCTACCGGAAGCTATAGACTGTTTAGCTCCTACACTGGAATCTGAAGTTTCTGGCTCATCTTAAAGATCATCATGTTGATATTCTCCTCATTGGTGCTCAAACTCACCCTCTTTGAGAGTTTGCAGCTCCACATGTTTATCAACATTCCTGCTATCTCTCACAATAGTAACCTTCAACATGGGGTTAAACATAGACTTCTCATCAAATATCACATTCCTTCTAAGTATGACTCTATGCTCAGAAGGTGACTAGACTCGAAATACCTTAACTCCATCTCCAAAACCCACAAACACACCCTTCTTTGCTTTTGGACTAAGTTTACCCTCATCCACGTGATAGTAAACAAGACAACAAAAAACTTTCAATGAAAAGTAATTAGCAGGCTTATCATACCATACCTCATAAGGAGTTTTACACTCGATACCTGGCATTAGAGAGCATGCACCTTGCTCTTTCCAACACTGTCTGATTCATCCTTTCTGCAACGCCATTTTGTTGTGGTGTGTCTCTAACTATCTGATAACGGGTAATCCCTTCATCCTTGCAGAATTCTTTGATCTCAGAACTGTAGAACTCCATACCATTGTCCGTTAGAAGTCTTTGATCTTCTTCCTGGTATGATTCTCTACCAAAGTCTTCCACTGCTTGAACTTCGTGAAGGCTTCACTTTTCTACTTCATCATAAAAATCCAAGTAAACCTTCATTAATCATCAATAATAGATAGAAAATACTTGCTGCCTCCAATGGATTCAACTCTTGAAGGACCCCAACAGTCGAAGTGGAGGTAATCCAGTATCCCATTCGTCTTATGGATACCCTTCTTAGCAGTGCAGTCAAAATCACGCATTAAAACGTAAAAATTTACATTTTTACGTCTCCAGGCCACCAAAACGTTTCAGTTTCTACCTAAAGTCGCTTAGTCACAAAAAATGGTAAAAACATGGGTAAAATCGATAAAATCGCTTAAAATCGGTAAAATCGCGATTCGGAAGCGTTTTTATACGATTTTGATCATCTCATAAAAATTTGCTAATTGGCCCAAAATGATGTAATTTTGGAGACATATCAGCAAAAAATAAATAAAGGAAAACATGATTCATACTCGTTCTACAACTAGTGTCAAAATAGGGGCTTCACATTAGGTTTAAAAGACACCTAATGGTATTCTCAACAGCCGCTGACCTTCTATCAGTCTTCTCCCTTAATCTTCACCTGTGGCTCTTACCTGGGTTACAATGAAAGTTTATGGGTAATTGATCGTATGTAATTATGTAAACTCAAGCCAGCTTATGAGAATTTGGATTCTGAAGCTCGTTTACAGGTTACGATCTACGTTATATGAGCTTATTATTAAGATGCTATGAGTTTTCTCTACTTTTGAGTCAACGCAAATTAGTTTATGTGTTAGATATTACATTATAATTATGAATTTCATGTAGTTATCCACTTATCTAAAATCTACACACTCACATTTTACATACTATATGTTGTACTTAACATATTTTAGCTATTTTAGAGGGTGCGTAAAAAACTTACGATTTTACGCTTTGATTCTTTTACGACTTTACCCATTTTACGCTTCTAGGTAGAATCGTGCTTTTAACTACATTGCTTCTTAGGAAACTTACTGCGATGTAGCTTCCCAAACACACAATGCTCACAAAATTCCAAATTCTACACCTTTTGCCCGCAAAAAAGATCATTTTTCGACAAAACTTGCATCCCTCGTTCACTCTTATGACCCAATATCATGTGCAAGAGAATGGTCATATCTTTCTGATGAACCTGTGACGATGCAACAACAGCAGAACCTGACAACACATACCCTTGTAATGC